AGAGCAAATTCATTTTCCATACAGCAGTTCACATACACTTTGTCTCATGACATTGACCACAGTTTCCCACAATGCAGCAGCTCCACCAAACATCCCCACAAGATCAAGACCTGGCAATCTGCTCCCATAAAGATTACAGCCTAGGTAACCCTACCAGACAGTTCTACTCTCTCACAGGGATTCACTATGAGTTGGAATTGGCTGATGACACCCAATAACAATAACAATGGGGTTATGTGAGAGAATGTTCTAGCTCCTGGGAGAGACATTGTCAAGGGTTAGGGGCAAAGGGTCATGAAGTCTGCAGCTTAATCCTCAAAGGTTCAGCAGATACTCATGACACACAGAGAGAAGAAACACCAATTGTGGCAAAATGGTGAATCTGAATCAGGAGTTAGCAAACTATGGCCCAGGGCCACAATGGCTCCCAGCCTGGTTTTATAAATAAAGTTTTACTGGCACACAGCCACAACCATTCATTTACAGATCCTCTGACTGCTTTCTCCAGCTACAGAGCAGAGACGAGTAGAGCTGAGATGACAGAGACCACCAGCCCACAGAGCTGCAGACGATGATGATGTGGCCCTGTACTGAAAAGAATGCTGACCCCTGGTCTAGGTGAAGAGTGGCCAGAGTTCATTATGAGGTTTTTGTGACCTTTTTTCTTCAATAGATTTGAAACTTCTCTAAATAAACATGGAGAAAAAATACTTTCAAAAACTGGGATCCCATCTGGGATCTGGCCCCAGAGATTCTACCTGTGGGGTGGTGGGGGTGAGGAAGCATGCCCACCCCCAGATCTTCACATCTGAGAGGGGGGAAGGGCATGCCCAGATCCCACGTGTTCCAGGGAGGGGTTCTGGTTCACCCTTTCCCAGAGGAGGGGGGCTCCCAACCCAGTTCCCCCAGACCACACTCCAGGAAAGTCACATCCGTCCTCCCCGCAGGAGAGTCACACTTCCATTTCCCCTACAGGACAGTGACAGTCTCTGGGTCTCTGGGGAGTGACAGAAGACAAGGGTGGGCTGGGCTTCCCATACTTCTGCCAGCCTGGGGGGCAGCCTGGCCACCTCTACCCCCACTACACCCCGGGTCCACTCACGTCTTACACTTGACACATTCTTCTATAAACATGTTCCCGTGAAGCTCTGCCAGCTTGTCCCTGTGGGAGAAGGAAAACCTGAGTGGGAGAGGCCACTGCTGCAGGCCCTCGGGAAGCCACCCAGGACCCCAGAACACCATGTGTGCATTTACGGTAAATGGAATGGAGTGAATGTTAAACCTAACTGACAGTTCTAAACCCTGACCTCTCCAGCCATCTTGGATTCTCCACAAGGAAGATTTTATCCCCATCTCCAGCCCCAGCCTCAAGGATGGCAGTGGAGGGATCCTGGGGGCAGAGCCTCGGAAACCCCATGCAGGGCGAGAGAGATCTAGGGAACTCGGGACTGGAAACCCCTTGGGACCCACGAAAAGGGACCCAGAAGCTCAAGACCCGTCCCTGAGGTGGGGACGACAGCTGGTGGCAGTAATGATGCCAGTAACTCTGGTCGGCGGAGTTCCTACGAGTGCCAAGCACTTCTCCCCCACCATCTTGGAGGGAGGGGTGCCTTCAAACTCATTTTACAGGTGAGGAAACAAGGCTCAGGGAACCCTGGCGTGGGGCTGGAGGGAGGAGGGGCAGGGTGGCCGTGGCCAGGGCGGGGCT